TATCTATCTATCTATCTATCTATCTATCTATCTATCTATCTATCTATCTATTTATAGGCAGGGTCTCTTTACAGAGGTTTGACTATCCTGGAATTCACAGGTTTTGAACTCACAGAGATCCACTTGCCTCTGCCTTCTGAGTTCTGAGATTGAAGGCATAGGCCTTGCCTGAGCCTTTATTATGGATATCTGCAAGGACCCATTTCTTGTCTCAGCAACATTCAACATATTGACCTTTTTTTTTTTTAAGCAAACTGAGATCTCATGATTTTTTACTGATTTTTAAAAAAATTTCCTGTTTTAGAGAACATATCCATCCTACTTCCTGTCTCTCCCTCCACACTTCTTTCTGCCCCTCCTTATTTCTTTTTCCTACCCCTCTCCTGATTTTCTTTCTTTTGGTGTTGGGGATTGAACCAAGAGCTTCCAGCGTGCCTGACACATATTCCACTTAGCTGTAACCCTAGCTTCTGTTTTTCATTTCAGAGGAATCTTACTTGTTTGATTTAATAAGAGATATTTATGTGAATGATGTGTTTCCCAATTAACTTCGCATCAGTAAATCCCCATGGCCCTTCAAAGGCTGCCTTATCAGAGTGGAGTGATACTGCCTGAGGGGAAGATGTAGCCCACAACTGAAAGAAAATCTTTCTTTCTGCCTGATTGAATACATTTTCTCTTGCCCCCTCCTTCTCCCTCCTCCCTTTCCTCTGCCCAGCTTTGCTGCAAATTAAACCCAGGGCTTCCTTTGTGCTAGGCAAGTGCTCTATCGTTGATCCTTATGTAGTATAGTCCCAGCTCCTAGAGTTTATTTTAATTCTTTGCAGGTTCTTGCCTGTGCCATCTATCAGAATCTACCACTTTAGCGCTCCCTCACCCGCCCCCCATGAGAAATTGACCTGCCTGTGTGATTTGGACATAACTACCTTTTGTTCCTGTTAGTTTCTGAACTGAGAACTTTCTATGTCTAATATGTGGGCTCTAAGAGAGAGGGATTTGTAGCAGGGCAAGTTTCTAGGGAATTGGTAATTTCATGCCTTTGAGAAAGTGTCTTGGATCAATCGTGTTTAGTTTCAGGCCCAGCTTGTGAAGGTTGTAGCAGTGAGGCTCTGGGAGGTGAGGGAAAGGGCTTAGCTGTGGGGGGGAACAGAAGCCTGGTACCTTCGGGCCTCTGCTTAGCTGCTGATCTCCACCACCTGCTGGAAAGGGAAAGTTGTGCACAGCATGTTGAAATCTTCTTTTCTTTTCCTAGGTATTGTTAGAGATACAGAAACAGCTCCTAGACTACAAAGGACTTGGCATCAGTGTGCTTGGTAAGATTTACCTTTGGATTCTGTTACTATCCTAGTTTAAACAGGAACAAAAAGGCCTCCAGCCCAGGCTTTCCTCTGTATAGTCTTACTGTAGGCTGTTACAGGCACATTTAATGTCTTGGGTTGCATGTTTGCTGGAGTAAAGACTGAACACAGCCTAAGTGCTGGTGAGTTTAAACATAGCTCACTGGTTCATTGGTGGATACTATACATTTGCCTAGCAGGGCCACCAATCGACTGTAGTATTACTTCACAGTCAATGTAAAGTTTTTTTAATTATTATACTTAAATAAGAACCTGTAGAAGTTAAAAAGTTCACAAGCTTCTAAGATATTGCTCATTAATAATTTCTTTATTAGACATTTGCTTCTGTGTTGTTTAGGAAGAGAACCTCCAAGCTCTAAATTTTACAATTATTCATGTATTTCTTGCTTGTTCCACAGGCTGGATTATGTGAAGGGACTTTCGAATCAGCTATCTTCCTTACTTATGTTAGCTGTTCCTTACTTATGTTTGGTGTTTGGGGCATAGACTTAGGTTTCTTCTTGCTTTTTTGCTCCTTTTTGCTTTTTTTCTTTATTTTTAAGACAGGGTCTCTTTATGTAGTCCTGGCTGTCCTAGAACTCACTATGTAAACCAGTTGGCCTTGAACTCACAGATATCTCTGCCTCCCAAGTGCTAGGATTAAAGATGTGTGCCATCATGTCTGGCTTTTTCCTCTTGTTCTTGTTCTTCTTGTTCTTGTTCTTCTTCTTCCTCTTCTTCCTCCTTCTCCTCCTCCTCCTCCTCCTCCTCCTCCTCCTCTTCTTCTTTTCTAAGATAGGATCTCATACTGTAGTCTAGGCTGCCCTTGAACCCTTGACAGTGGCAGTTCTTCGGACTCAGTCTTCTGAATGCTGAGGTTATAGGAGTAAGCCACTATGCCTACTCCCAGACAAAATCTTGCTGTTAGCTCAGGTTGGCCTTGAATTTCGGTCCTCAGCTTCCTGAATGCTGGGACTGTCGAATGATGTGGGCATACCACTTCTGCTTAGACTTATTTCTGTGTCTCTACTGTGGGAGAAAGAAATAGAGCAAGCAGGGTCTGATCAGAACCTAATAATAAGTCATTGTGGCACTTGAAAAATCACTGAACTTTGACTGCAGGACTGAAATGTTCACAGTTTCAACGTCAGTGTGAATCATCCTACTCTAAGTGAGAATGTGCCCACTATCTGAACTCAGCTTTTCTTAATGTAATCTCTCCATAAATTTCACAAGCAGTTTTCTTTGGTATTGTACTTGAAATTTTGTTTTGTTTTTTTGCTTCCACAGAAATGAGTCACAGGTCATCAGATTTTGCCAAGATTATTAACAACACAGAGAATCTTGTGAGGGAATTGCTGTAAGTTTTAACAAGTATTTAAAAAAATAATTATTCTGTGTGTGTATGCCTGAGTAAATGTATGTGCAGCACGTAGAAGCCTTCAGAGGTCAGAGTAAGTGTTAGATCCCCTAAGCTGGAAGTATAGACTGTTGTGAGCCACCATTTGCGTGCTGGGACTGAACCTGGGTTCTCTGCAAGAGCAGTCAATGCTCTCAACCAGCCAGATCTCCAGCCCCATATTGCTGTAAGTTTTTAAAATGACCAACTTGTTAGTTTTGTTCTGTATGCCGTAAACCTGGATGTTCATTACATTATTTTCTATACTACACGCTTTGTTTAGAATGTCCATAATTAAATCTTCTGAGTACTCTCAAATTCATTATTAGCACATAAAATGACAATGTTATTTTATGACATTATAGTGACAATGACCATTGTCACTACTGTCAACATAACTAATTTAATAGTAGGCCTCTTGTAATTTTTAAGAGTCATTTAGATGGGGTAGTTGTTAATATTTAAGACCAGCTCAGGACTACTGAATTAGAATGTCTGGAGAAACGTAGTAGGTTTAAGAACTGGTGATCATCTGCTTGGCTTGTCCCCCACTCCTGTTTTCCTACCTTTTGTGTCACATTCACAGACCAGTGCCCAGCTCCCTGTTTTGTACTGATGCTGGGATTCTGTCCTCTAACTATTCATCCCTCAGCTCTGACTATATGAGGCTCAGGATCTGTGCAGCCAGTCTGATCATCTTTTCCATTCTGCAGTCAAAGCATTTTGCACTTAGTCTTGACTTGTGTTTGGTTTTTGGTTACTCAGCTAGATTCTAGAGTTATCAGAGATGGACAACTCTCAGGGATGCCTGGCTTAGTATGGTTACAGGTGACAGACCCAACTCACTGGCTCAAGCAAAAATGGCAAGGTTTACCTTGGGTAGCCAAAGGAGGATCTAGGGGCCCTGTTGGCACCAGGCAGATCTTTCTAAGAAAGCCCTGATCATCTGTGTTAGCTTTGCCAGGAGGCCACCAGTGTTTGCAAGATTAGCACCCCTTTCACATAATAAAAAAGGTCGTTGTCTGTGATTTGAGCAAAGATCTCAGCCAGGTCCCACTGACCAGCTCACTGCTTTGCTCACTGCTCATTTTCTGAGTTGGGGTTGGCCATAGTTGAATTCTGAGGTTGGGCAGCAGAAGCAGGATTCCCTTAAGAAAGCAGGGCATTACTCAGAAAAGGAAGGAGTCACCATAGGTTTCTATGCTAAGTGTCAGAAAAAAACCGTAAATAAGTGACTAACTTGAGTAAGAGAGTGACAGTGAAACTTTACTGTATTTCTTTTTCTTTTAAGATTTATTTTGTATGTATGTGCAGACTGATAGTGAGACTTTACTGTATTACTTTTTCTTTTAGGGTTTATGTTGTATGTGTGTGTGTGTGTGCTTACAGAGGCCAGAAAAAGACATGGAGTACTCTGGAATTATAGGCAGTTGTGGGTTGCCTGTTGTGGGTGCTGGGGACTGAACCCAAGTCCTCTGCAGAAACAGTACACACACTTCACCAGAGCCATCTCTGCAAGTCTCTGTGGAGTTAGACTGAAAGTATGCACCCGGTGGAGCAGCCCTCGTTCTCCATCTTTGATGTGTGAGCTTATGTATTTATTGTCACTTGTTTTCATGCCCAGAGCTGTTCCCAATAACTACAAGGTGATCTTTGTACAAGGAGGTGGGTCTGGCCAGTTCAGTGCTGTCCCCTTAAACCTGATTGGCCTGAAAGCCGGAAGGTGTGCTGACTACGTGGTGACCGGAGCTTGGTCTGCTAAGGCTGCGGAAGAAGCCAAGAAGTTTGGGACTGTGAACATTGTCCACCCTAAACTTGGAAGTTACACAAGTAAGTTCTGGGAACTGAGCTAGGCTGTGAGGTGGTGACTGGCCATTACCCTTGCAGTTCTTTTGCTATCCTCTCCCCAGTGATCTCGTTTAGATTGTTTGGCTATGGTGGCCTACTAACTACTCCTACTCCTGAGAGTCTTGCTTTGCTAAAAGCCCAGGAACCAGTTTGGTGTGTTTATGGGGATGCCCAGTGATGCTTCCCATGTCCTAGCTCCTAATCTCCTCCTTGGAAGACTGCAGTCTGGAGAAGAGTGTCTTTTCTAGGAAGATGGCTGCAGATGCTCTTTAGCTTGTTGTACTCTTCGAAGTGTCAGGGCCCTTGTTGGAGCATTCCAATGATAGTGTCACATGCTCTGCTGTGAATTAGTCACTAATCCCGCCTAAGTCACATTTTACCTGTAGGGGTATGGATTTGATGGACTTTGCTGGAACCACATAGGCACAGAGTAGTGGGTAAGCTGGGGTCCTACGGACAGCAACAGGTGTAGGCTCGATGGATACTTGATGACAAGAAAATTTATAACCTGCGTTTCTTCTTTTTCTTCTTTGGTTTGTTTGTTTGTTTGTTTGTTTGTTTGTTTTGAGACAGGGTCTCTTAATGTGCCCCTGGCTGTCCTGGTAGTCTCGATGTTCAAGGCTGGCTTTGAACTTAGAGCAGTCCTGCTGTCATAGCTTGCAAGTGCTGGATTGCATGTGCACCAGTACACTTGGCCCCTCTATGCTGCATTTGAATGTTATTTGTGCCCAGTAAATTCCAAGGGTGTGATGGGTCATGGTCAGCTGTTAGGGACGGAGGCAAGAGTAGGTAGGTAGGTCCTTGAACTTGTCAGGTGCTTTGGAGTCAGCCTCCCCTCAGAAAACTAACCAGTCTCCTGGGTTGCATCATTTACAAATGGAAAAAAGGACATATGCAGAGCCTCAAATTTGCACTTTGTGATAGAAATTCCAGACCCAAGCACCTGGAATCTCAACCCTGACGCCTCCTATGTGTACTTCTGTGCAAACGAGACTGTGCATGGGGTGGAGTTCAACTTTATACCAGACGTCAAGGGAGCAGTGCTGGTCTGTGACATGTCCTCAAACTTCTTATCCAGGCCGGTGGACGTTTCCAAGGTAGAGTATGAAAGGTTGGTGGGGAACCCAGTGAATATTCTCTGTGGTGTTTTGATCTATGTGCCCAGAGGAAAGACTTTGGGGATGGTGTTGGCATTGGCATAGCCCCTGAAGCCGGAGTAGATGTCAGCAGGCTGACAACTGCTTATGTCATTACTAGCTATCAGAATGTCTAAGTCTGATTGCTCATGGCCTAACTGCCAGGCCTTGGGGAACTTGCCTGCTCTTGAAACTTGTTGGCTAGCATATTGGAAGTGTTATGCTCATTCCAAAGTCAGGAGCAGGGTACCCTGGGAACTATGAAGAACTCCCCCTCTCCCACCAACCGCCCTTGCCTTTTTTAGCCTGAACTCTGAAAGTCCACTAACAGCAAATACAGACTTGTACGGTCTGCTAAGGCTGGGCAGGTAAAGGGTGAGGGGCATTCTTGTAGCAGGTACATGGAAAAAGAGGGGACAGTAAAGAATTTAAAAACAGTATCCAAGCTAGCTAAGTGGTAGTCTGCCTTTAAAATAATTTGTTTTTTAAACTTATTGTTTGACATCTGTATGTGTGTGTGTCTGCAAGTTGCTGTGTGAGCTTGAGTGAGGGAGAGATGGATACATAGAGGTCAGAGGCCAATTTTATGGAGTTCTCTTTGTCTACGTTTATGTGGCTCCAGGTGTTGCATTCCACTTACCAGGCTTGCATAGTGCCCTTCCCAGCTGAACCATCTCCTTGCCCCTCCTTTTTTGTGGTGGTGGTGGTGTTTTCTGTGAATATCATAAATGCTGCAAGACAAATTCTAAAAAGAGATGTAACAGTTCCACCTCCTCCTTCAAACCCTGTCTTGTTTTTTTGGAGAGAGGGTTTCTGTGTATCCCTGACCATCCTAGAACTCACTGTATAGACCAGGCTGGCCTTGAATGAACAGAGAGCCTGCCTATTGTGGGCCACTATGCCCCCCTTTTTAATTTGGTAAAGTATACTTAAAATGTATTTTAGTCATATTTAAAAAAAATATTTAAGGGACTGGAGAGATGGCTCAGTGGTTGAGAGCAGTGGCTGTTCTTCCAGAGGTCCTGAGTTCAATTTCCAACAACCATATAACCATCTGTAATGAGATCTGGTACCCTCTTCTGGCGTGCAGGCCTACGTGCAGACACTAAGTCAGCCGGGTAGTGCACCCTTTTAATACCAGTGCTTGGGAGGCTGAGGCAGGTCTTTGAATTCAAGGCCAGCCTGATCTACACCGTGAGTTCCAGGACAGCCAGGGCTACATAGAGAAACCCTGTCTCGAAAAAAAAAAACAACAGAAATTAAGTGTGGTGGCACAAACCTTTAATCTCAGCATTCAGGAAGCAGAGGCGGTGGATCTCTTGAGTTTAATGGTAGCTCCTGGTATATATTTTGAGTTCCAGGCCAGCCAAACATATACAGTGTTGTTGTTGTACTTTTTTTTAAGTGTATACACAATTTACCTATTATTATTGTGTGTAAAATTAACTTTTATTTGGCTGATTGTCTCCGAGGCTTACTGCCTCCATCTGCTAACCTAGGCCTACTCCTGGAAGCTTCTAGCTTCTGTACAGTCTACTCTAGGTGTACAGCCTCTGAGACTTACTGCTGAATAAGCTCACCCTTTCTAGTTCTTTCTGAACTCTGGCTGGCTGGTTCAACTCAGCCCTTCTGGCTCAAATTCCCTTCCTTACATGTCTGATTCAAAACTGGCTTATCTCAGCTTCTGACTGAATTACTCTGCTTGGCTTTAAAAATTAACTCTAACAGTCTCTTTAATCTTCTGCGTCCTCATTCTTTGGCTCATTCTCTCTTCACCTTTATCTAGCTTTTTCTCTCCTCAACCTGTCTTTTTAAATCTTCTGGTAAAAACTGCCTCTGAATTCCATGAACTGAACACCGTGAACTCAACTCCACTGCACTGCCTCTCAACTTACTAACTCAGTCAAACTGCTTGAACAGTACTCAGAGGTCTGCATGCCTCTAGTCTCCTGAGGGCTGGGAATAAAGGTGTATACTACCACACCTGGACCTAAGCTCTTCTTTACCTGAAACTATACCAGGCTGGCCTTGAACTCAGATTGCTTCTGTGCCTCTGGGATTAAAGGCCTGTCTGTATTTCAGCTGGATCACATAGGCCTGCTCTTCAGATGGGATTCCTTGCCATGTGCCTGAATTAAAATTCCTCTGCAATTGTGTCTGTGCATGGATGCACACTTGCCATGCGTATGTGTGGTTGGCAGGCTCTGGCCCCATTTTGACCACTTTTAGGTATCCAGCTCAGTGACATTGATCACATTAACTTTGCTATGCAGCCTTCACCTCTGTCCAAGTCCAAGAACCTTCAGATTTTGTGTTGAAACTTTGGACCTGTTAAAATGGCACACCTCCAGCCTTTTTGAACCACTATCCAACTCTGAATTTGTACTCAAGGAACTTTCTGTAAATGGATCGTGATATTTTTTCCTTAGTATTTGGCTTAATTCACTAATGTCTTCAAGGTTCATGTTGTGGCATATATCAACTTCAGTTTTAGACTAGTATTCAATGATACAGATTTATGATATTTGGTTTATAGCCATGCACCATGTTTTTTTTATTTATTTGTTTGTTTGTTTGTTTTTCAAGGCAGGGTTTCTCTGTGTAGCCTTGGCTGTCCTGGATTTGTAGACAAAGCTGGCCTTGAGCTAGTGCCTGGCTGCTCTATGTTTTTAAAGAATGGTCTCACTGCATAGCTCAGGCCAGCCTGGCCTTGAACTTGAAACCCTCCTATTTCCTTCGTACTGGGATTATTTATGTTTAGCCACTCCAAACCATGTCAGTTGTAAACCACATACCCCTACTTGATTTCCTGAAGGTTTCATGGGATAACAGAGAAACAGCTCTGTACCTTGCACAACAAAATGTCTCCAAGAACTGTTAGACATTGGTGTATTCTAAAATTCTCCTTCAGGTGTCCACCCACTCATGTTGTGTTGCAGCATTCCCCTTCACAGTAGTTTCCGACTTCTTTAATTGACCTAATTTTTGTTGTTGTTTATTTTACATTATGAATGTTTGGGTTGCAAGCATTTGGGCACACCAGATGTGTGTCTGATGCTGGTCAGAAGATGTGAGTCCTGGGAATGGAGCCCAGGTGCTCTGCAAAAACAGTAATTGCTCTAAATCACTGAACCATCTCTGCAGCCTGTCATTTAACTTTTAAAGTATTTATATTCTAACCATTTCAATATTTAAAGAAAAATATGTTGCTAAAATTTTTGTCATTTCAAATTATGAAAATATTAACCATTGTACAAATGACTGTTTTAAAGATTAAATGATAGTATTTTATTTTGGTTACCAAAGATTTGGAGGCCCCATTATGATTATTATTTTTTAATGTTGGCTCTGAAGCCCAGGCTTTATGCATGGTAAGCGTGCTGTATTATGAAATTGTACTTCAGTCCAGAGGACCCTGTATACCAGGCTAGCTTTGAACTCACTATGAAGCCAAGCAAGGGTGACCTTGAACTCAATCCTTCTGCTTGCATCTCCCAGGTGCTGGGATTATACATGTGCACCACCGACCTGGACCAGAGGGCTTATTTTATTACTTAGTTAAAATAAAAATTTTAAAAGATTTATTAATTTCTTACTATATGTGTATTAGTGTTTTGCCTTTGTGTGTATATGCATAGGGGCCATGTGTGTGCTTGGAGTCCTCAGAGGTCAGAAGAGGGTGTTAGATCCCCCGGAACTGAAGTTACTGATGGTTGTGAGTTACATTGTGGGTGTCAGCAAACAAACCTGGGTCCTCTCTCAGAGCAACAAGTGCTCTTAGCTGCTGAGCTATCTTCTCTCTTCATTCCCTCGAGGGCCTGTTCTAAAGACTGGATTGGAAGTAGAAAAAAGATTGTGAGAGCACGAACACGTCACAGGACTTCACAGTGCTGGGCGTGGGACACCTCTTCCTGGCAGAGGCCAAGTCTTGGCCCTCAGAAGTGCTGACTTGCTTTTCTGAGCAGAGATTCCTAGCGTATGGCATGCTGCTAGGCAGGAACGGGTCCCTTCATTTAAAAAGCCACACTTAGGGAAGAGCTAGATAACAGCATTCATGGCTTAGGGATAGCCAGAGATGCTTCTGAAATAGCCGGTATTTCTTTTTTTAAGTTTGGGGTGATCTTTGCTGGTGCTCAGAAGAACGTTGGCTCTGCCGGGGTGACGGTGGTGATCGTCCGTGATGACCTGCTGGGGTTTGCTCTGAGAGAGTGCCCTTCAGTCCTCGAATACAAGGTGCAGGCCAGCAACAATTCTTTGTATAACACACCTCCATGTTTCAGGTAAGTCTGGGGTACTGTAGTCTCCTGTCAGGGTGGAGGTAAAGTAGGGAATGCTTCATTAGCCACTGACCCAGGAGCCCAGACACACTCAGCACTCTGTCTAGTGCTGTTCGTTCAGATTTGCTTGTTGCCCTTTTTGTGGTGATGACAACTTTGGTTTTTTGCTTGATCTTGATAACCCAGGCTCCAACTGTTGACCATTAACCCACAAGCTCTCTATAGATAAAGTGCCGTGGCCTGTGTTTCAGACAAACAAGGTGGCTTTCTAGAAGGAATAGGGTCAGGCTAGGATAAGAGTACCAGGGTTCTCCTTCCCTGCTGTAGAAAATGCCTCCCACCCATACAAGAAAGGGAAGAGTTTGGAGTAAAAATTCAGTTGGACGTTTCCTCTGTTTCTGTGTCACTCACATGATACAGACTAGTCTCCTGTGTCCCCCGCTTTCCTTAGAGTAGAGTATTTCTGGGGTTAACTCTCCTGGTCATCCCTAATCCTTTGGCTGTTCCCTGGGATGGAAACCCCCTCTGTAGGACATCCCTGCCTGAGGCTGCTGAGCCAGAAATCCCAGAAAAGGAATAATTTCTTTCTCAGAATGCTGGAATGCTGTCTTAGAATAAGTCTGGGTGATGAATACTTAGATTGAACCTGAGCAAATGCATAGAAGGTGAAAGGTAGAGGGTTTTGGTGGATTCTCTCCTCCTGCCCCTCACTCCCAATTTCTTTTCTTTGATTATAAGACAAAAAGAAGAAAAGTTTGTGTGCTTTTGTGTGACTTCACTGGTAACATTTAAGGTTAGAAGTGGCCCGCTGAGAGCCATCACCTCATGGAGATGACAGTGTGAGCAGAGCAGAGGAGGCACCCAGAACCCTCTTATCTGTAGGCAGATAAGGATGCAAGTGTGTCCTGATGCCGTGCTTTGTTTTCTGTGTTTGGTCAGAGCCAAAAGATTGTGGGCCCTGGGAATTCTTTGACTGTTGTGGATACACAGGGCCATGAATTGTTGCTCAGTAGTCTTCTGCAGGAACTGGGTTGGAATAAAGGGTTATGATGACATTCTTTTTAATAGGGTTGACTAGAACTCACTCAACCCTATTAGTGGGCGGAGGAAAAGATTAAACAACTCTTCTAACTTCATAAAACACTTTCTGCTTAGACATAGTGAGCTGCTAAGCATAGATTGTTTTAATTTCCAGCGTGATGAAAAAATGTCTTTTATCCAATTATCTTATTTCAGTTGGTGAAAATACAAGATATAGGCATGGTTACATGTGCCTCTATTCCCAGGACTTAGGAGACAGAAGTATCAGGAGTTCAAGGTCATCTTAACACCCACTCTTAAGTAAAAGTTTCCAAGTGAATAGTTACCAAGGAAACATTGTACCTGCCTATTCAGTCACCCCTCATTAACCACCAAAGACTCATTCCAGGACCTCCTAGGAGTCCAAAATTCTTAGCTGGTCAAATCTCTTTTTAAAAATGTCATAATATATAGCTATGCACATCCCCCTACATGTGTTAAGTCATTTCTAGATTATTTATAATACCTAATATAATGTAAGTACTTTAAAAAAAACTTATATACTATATTGGGTAAGAAGTAGTGACAAGGAAAAATTTTGTTTATATTCGTTCCAGACACTGATGTTGAAGTTTTTCCTGTACAAGGTTGGTTGAACCCATTTTGCCAAACTCATGAATTGGGGAGGTTAGCTGTATACTGTCATGTATTTAATTGTGTCAGTTTTTGTGAACTGTGATGTTCAGACCTGTGTGAATCCTTTTTTCAACCCAGCAGTGTACTGTGGGCATTCTGCCCCATTAGGTTAAATGCCTGCCCCTTTCCATCTTTCTTTTTATAGCTGTACACTGTTACAGAGGACAGGCTTGCTGTGGTTTATTCATTTCAGGTAGGCTTAGATGGTAAGCCTATTTGGTGTGTTTGTAGGTAGCCAGTTTAGGAGTAAAGGTGTCAATCAGCTAAAAGTGTACACTAGTGGAAAGAAACTGAGCCCAAGTTGTGAATCCACATAGCATTGTAAGGCTCCAATGGTGTTGAGAGTTTTGGCTTTAGAGGATAGAGGACTAAGTTAGTAATGAAGTAGAAGTCCAAAAGAGAAGCATTGACAGAGGTCCGGTGTCAGTGCTTAACAAGGAGGTGGGTGGGGAAGCAGGCAGGAGCTTCCTCTCTCCAGGGCCGCCTTTCTTTTTCTGGGCAGCGGCTTCCTTCAGATCTGGCTGTTGCTTGCTGAAGCATTGAAGATGCAGGCTGAGGGTCTGACTACAGGTGTTTTGTAGAAGTGCGTTGGCTTTCTGTTGTTTGCCTACTGAGATCCTAAGAAGGCGGAAAGAGGACGGGCAAGCAAGACTGAACTTAGGCTCCAGTGTTGCTCCTGAGGTCTGGCTCTGACAGAGGCTCTTGCTGCTTGGATTTTCTTAGAGAATCTGCAGTTTTGAAATACAAGGATAGCCATCTGGTGAAAGTATGCATGGTTTCCTGAAACTATTAATCATGACTCTACTGGCACCGATAGTCTGGTGGCATGTTTCTGTGGTTCATGGCTGAGTAGGCTGTAGATGCCGGGTAGGGTAGGAGCAGTTTGGGGTTACATACTTTATTTATAAAGTTCCTGTGTGTCTGGTATTGTTTTCTGTTGCCTCCTGGGAAGAAACTCCTGGGTTCTTGGCCTACCTGGTTGAGACAGTAAATGACCAGCCAGTCAATGTCAGAGGTTTCTGATCGGCAGCTCTTTGGCTGTCAAAGCTCTGCAGAGATTTGTCTGCTCTAGCCAGGCCCTGGGCCAACCATGGGTTTTGTGGGAGATAAGTCTAAACACTTGGCTCAGAACGGAATGGTCCTATGTTGTAGCTGGGCCTACTAGAACCAGGAACACAAAGCCTACACCATCTCCTCCACTTCTTTTTTGATTCATTTTGAGAACAGGGTCTTGCTATGTAACTCAGGTTGGAACTCTGTGTAGCCCAGTTGGAACCATCCTCCTGCCTCAGTCTCCCCCTTGCTTCGGTTACAGGTAGGTTACTCTCCATTTCTGATCTTTGCTTCTCTAGGCAGGGGATGTTAGCTTCTCTGTTTAGCTAGAAATGAAATCACCTAGGGCTTACCTTCTGCTTGGGATGCACTAGTGTTGTTTGCCTGTTCTCACTCCCAGCTGAGAAAATCCCAGAGGAGTTGCTGATTGGTCTAGTTAAGTCTCATGCCCGCCTCTTAGGACCAGGGAAGCTAATCTTGCTGCTGGATCTTTATGTTAGCTGTGGGGGTAGAGCTGAAAAGAGGTCAACTCCCAGGTGTCCACACCAGCAGTAGTGACTGCTTGTTCTCAGAGACAGGCAAGGCTTACGTTTTCATGATGACCAGTCCCGTGTGGCATGTCTGGCCTGTGATGGAACCTGTGGTGTGCGTCACTGCCACACTCCCTCTGCCAGGTGGGAGGCACTGGGATAGAAAAGAACAGTGTGTGCTTCCAGCCTTCTAGCATTGGAATCTAAGACACACACATGCTCACAGAAGTGTAAAATAAAGGAGTGAGTACCAAAATAAAAGCAAGACCATCCCCCACAACTCTATACGGATTAAGAGCAAGGAACTCTGGGGATTCGGGAGGTGAAGAGTTGGCTTAGTGTGGGTTTGGGGAGACTGTCTAGAGATGAGGATGTATGGTCAGATGTCATGGAGCATGTCTAGCAGGGCCTAGAGCAGAGGTTTTCAACCTGTAGGTACAGCCCCTTTGGCAAACCTCTATCTCCAAAAATGTTTGTTACAGTTCATAACAGTTACAAAATTAGTTATGAAGTAAGAATGAAATAATTTTATGTTGGACTGTCCACCAGAACATGAAGAATTGCATTAAAGGTTGCAGCATTAGGAAGGTTGAGGACCATTGGCCTAAAGAGGCTGGTATGCCATTACTAAGGTGTTTTGTGTTGTCTCTTTAGAGTACCTCATGAGCTACAGCCGTGTCAGCCTAGTTCTTGGCGTGCTCTTCAAGTGGTCTGCTTTTATCCACTTGTAACGATGCTAAAGGTTTCAGTGTGACACCCAGTACCATTTTGCTTACATGACTGGCTTTTGCAGAGGAGAACTTACTTAATGGTGCTGTGTTTTATTCCTGCTTAGCATCTACGTCATGAACATGGTCCTGGAATGGATCAAGAACAATGGCGGGGCTGAAGCCATGGAGAAGCTCAGTTCCATCAAATCCCAAATGATTTATGAGATTATTGATAATTCCCAAGGATTTTATGTGTAAGTCAATGTGTCGTATCTTTTGTGAATTAGAAACTGTTTCATGAAACTTACCTTAACTCAGGACACTGGCATACTTGTGAGTGATGGTCCCATGCTTCGTGATCTGGGGGTGGAGGTAGGGAAATTCTTTGCTCTTGTACCCCACCCTGGGAAAGCCCAGTCTATAGGGTCATGTTCCTAAATACTCTGACCTGGGAAGTATGCATTGATGTCTGGGGTAAGACTCACCCTCCACCCTTTTCCACCCTTTTCTACCCCTTCCTCCCCAGTGACACTGGAAAACTTTCAGGAAGCTACCTGCATTGCTTAAGGCTTCCTGTTGGTCTCTTATGCTATAAATCCTTGCTCCTAACCCCCATCCCCATATGGGCTTGTGTGTAGGTACACATGGATATTTTTCTGGTATGGTCAGAAAGACAACCTCCTTGTAAGTCCTCACCTTCCATCTTGTTTGAAACAGAGTTTCTTTGTTTTTAATAGTTTTTGCAGACAAAATGATGATGATCTTGACACATGCCTACCCATAGCTTGTGTATATTAGCTAGCCTAGCAGTCCCTTGAGCTTCCAGGAATCCTCCCATCTTACCTTAAAAGCACTGGAATTACAGATGCACTCTACCCCATCAGGCATGATTTGCGCTCTGAGAACTTGAACTTAGGTCCTCACACGTGATAAATGATTTGCTCAAAATTCACTGCTTCCCTTATTTAAGGACAGATGTCCCCATACCTGGCCTGAAGTCCAAATGAGATTAACCGTGGCAGGGTTGACTTTTATCTAGTTAAATACTTTCATGACAAAGGGATGGGTGATCATGTGTTGATCGCTGGCTGCGTTTGTTTGTGAGGTCTATAGACAATGTACAGATCTTGTAGTGTTGCCTGTGGCTGCTGTAATAAAGCATCCATGAACTCGGCAGCTTAAAATAGTAAGAATTCTCAGTTTTAGAAGCCCAAAGTTCAAGATCAAGATATTCTTGGTTTGGTTCCCTCCAGAGATTCTGGGGAAGAATCTCTTTCTTTTCCAGAATAAGTTGCATCATCTTGGTCTTTGTCTTTAGCCTCTTCCTTTCTTTTTTTTTTGTTTTATGAGAGTGACCCATGGGACATACCCTCAATATTTCAGGATATTTTGTTGTTTTGAGACATGTTTGCACCATGTATCACAGCTGGCTTTGAACTTTCTATGTAGCTTGGACTGGCTTTGGATTTGTCTTAATTCCTTTCATTCCCAAGGGCTGGGATTTTAGGCATGGGCTGACACTTCCCACCTTTCATTGTAGCCTTGTGTCAAGATCGTTATCATCAATTTGCAAAAGACAAGTTTTCCAAATAGGTCAGATTCATGAGTTATGGATGATGAGAGATGGACATTTGTTCATCCAGCCTGTCACAAGAGGCTTCTTGCAAGTGGCAGATGGGATGCCCGAGAGTTATAAACATCATTGATAGTAATGACATTTGATCTTCTCTAGTCCTCAAGGTTCGTACAGGTGTACATCGACTATGTATCATGTGGTATGTGAGTGTCTTGTGTTTATGTGTTCAATTCTACGTATACACATAAACATATTCAGTGAGCAAGCCAGGACCTCCCTTTTCAATGGTTATAGTTTTTTTGAGGTTTAGACTGTTGTAATAGATATATCTATTAGACAGTAACTTGAACTCCCTTTGAGTACTTCATGGGCCACATGGAATAGAAAAGAATGATTTGCAATCTTAGTTTTTAGCCAAGACTTGCTGAGGTTGTGTGGGTGAAGGGTATGGATGCATTCTTGGATAACTAGGCTAATAAAGCATGCTGCCATTGCCTTTCCCCTAAAATGCTTGTAGGAGCTCTTGGCTTGCAGTGGCTCTCTAGCCACAAGCTGGGTTTACAGACGTGTACCATTATGCTTGGCTTTCCATGGGTTCTAGGGATGTGAATTCAAGTCTTCATGCTTACACAGTAAGCAGCAGCAGCAGTTGCCGCCTTGTTCTTTTTCAGAGCTACTCCACACTCACTGGGTTCTGGCATTTATTCTCTCTGCCGAGTCCTTAGATTTAAACTATCTGCAGCTGGCAAAGAGCTCCTGTCAGAGCCCGCAGTAGGCAAATAGTTTGTCCCACATCCCACACGTGGGATTAAAACAAAAACATGTTTACATCCACATCAAGAGACTGTTTAAAAACCTGTAAATTTGTTTGTGACATTAAACCTCTGAGAAACACAGATGGAATAATAAACATGCTTTTTAGGTGTCCAGTGGAGCGCCAGAGCAGAAGCAAGATGAATATTCCATTTCGCATTGGCAATTCCAAAGGAGACGAAGCTTTGGAAAAGCGATTTCTTGATAAGGCGGTGGAACTCAACATGATCTCCTTGAAGGGTCACAGGTAAGCACACCTCATCCTCAGGCAGAACAGCCTGGGGGAGTGGTTACAGATGTAACCACTTCTGGCTGGGTTGTAGTGCATCTTGCATAGGAGGCCATCAGCACTGAAAGTGCCTCTGGGGCTGCCTGCTCTCCAACCCAGTGAGAGACCATCATTGGGCTCAGTTGAACATCAGATACCCAGAGCAATGAATGTCCTCACCCAGGAGATCTGCAGCAGCAGAGCGCTCAGTCTCTGGCTGGAACTGTTACATAGCCTAGGGAGTGGTATGATCCCCAACCTATCTCCATCCTCTTCATCTGGGTTTTTCCCCCCTCCCCTCATTTAGTTTCTTCTTTATCAAAGAAGAATAGTTTGGGGTTGATCAAAGTCCAGTATATGCATGTATGTAAATGCCACAGTGAGACCCATTAATTTGTACAAATAACTTGTCAATAACTACTCTAAAAAATGACTATTTGAGGTAATCCAGTGGGAGCATGGTAAATGACCTTCACCACACAAAGGATTTCCTAATGACTTGGAAGCTTTGTGCTACCTATTGGGGATGGTTTTCAGTGGCAGGTTGAGCACCCTGGGCTCAGAGCTCCAACTCTTAGAAGTGGTAGTTAGTGCTAAAATAGATGCCTTTAAAAGTTTACTTGTGTGTGTGTATGTTCTTTGGGTCCAAACCTACAGTAGGCAAGGGCCTTAACATTGATATGCCTTCTCCTCCTGATTTCTTGGTCTTACTGGTTGGATCTTCCTTGTTCTAGGTCAGTGGGAGGCATCCGTGCCTCTCTGTATAATGCTGTCACAATTGAAGATGTTGAGAAGCTGGCTGCCTTCATGAAGAACTTTCTGGAGATGCATCAGCTGTGAGCATGACCAACTACAGTGTGCCTGTGAAAACACGCAAAATTTAGAGTAACGTGGGATTGGCTACAGAAACTTAACAGACATGGAGTTTTCCAAATACGTGCTTATTACAGACTCTTTTCAAAGAATAACGGCTAAACATCAGGGCTCTGCAGAGCTGACGACGAGCTAATGACCGCCTTCATTTTTACTTGAACTGGAAGCACTTTTCCTGTTGCTTTTCTAACAAGTTCAGCCTGTCATCTTTGCTGCTCCTTTCTCTGGGTGGATCGCAGGACTTGCCTTGGACTTTTGCCAGTTCTGGTTAGTTATTTTTTGGGCTCCACATATTGCAAGGAGCTTGGGAAGCCCTGTGCGCTGGATCTGACAGCGATGAGATTGCTGGGTTCTGCAAGTGTTGGTTAAAGTCAACAGCAAATCTTGTGAGCATTTTGGATCTGTACACTGCTATTCTCAAAAAGAGATGACATACTGTATGAGTTTTTATACAGTAGGTATTTTAACACAGTTTACAGCTGTGCCTTTATATTGCTAATGAAACAGTTCTGCAGAGGCATTTAGAGTTTGGTTAGCCCATGACATTGTGCATGGCTGTCCTCTGCTGCCAACACCTGCAGCCTCTCACCTACCCCATTTTAAAGCCGCTTTATAAGAAAGCTCTAGAAGTTCTACGATTCACTTTTCCTCTCCTTGAGAGGAAATGGCTAGTTCTTTGCTTTCCGGTAAGGCTGTTAAACAAAACTCAGTTACCCCTCTTCCCCTTGAACTATGTTAACATGGCTGTTTTGTAGTTTGACCAGGGCAACACTGTACATTCCACATCTTTGCTGAGGTCTTTCTCGGTTGTCCCTGTGTTGTTAGTGTTTTTGGTTGAGTGTGTGGAGAACATTAAAGTCTCGAAGCACCTAAACCATTGCCTGTGAATTATTCTGCTTGCCTTTTAGACAGATGCTTTGTTTGAACTTTCTGATGGGAAGGCCGGGTTCTAAAGCAGCCTGTGTTAGGGTACTTTAGTACAGACAAAGGCTTAGGTCTTTTGCAAGTCAGTGTGGTTACTTGCCTTTTGCTTTTGGAACAGCGGAGTCCCTTCCAGCATAGAGCCCAGTGTTCGGTTTGTGAACTCTGTCCCTGTTAGCCCAGAAAGGAGGCAGCAGAAGAGTTGTGAGCTCTCCTTTTTCACCTGATTGCACAAGAAGACACTGATAGTCAGTTCTCCTGGCTAGGTTCCACCCTTTCGTTTGTGAAATAACATGAGGCATTTTTGCAGGGTGTTTGTATTTAAAGCAAGGTCTTGTTTCGGGGTATGACAAATCACTACTATATTCCACAAATGCCAAGAGACAGTCTGTGGGATCAACTCAGGGTCACAACCAACACCGGCACTCCCTTTTTCCATGTGCTTGTGTACCCATATTTTCTTCACTTGAACCCTTCATGTCACAGCTAGTCCTGCTGTGAAACCCTTGAATTATTTCAGTACCTTATCTCTGTCCCATCCACTCTCCCCATTAAATCTACTTGGGCTGATTTTCTGCTCTGTGTGTAGATCGTGAATGATCAAGGCTTTCTAGTGTGGCTGACATCTGCCTGGCTTCCTGTCTCTTATGCAGTAAGACCAGTCTTCATGACACCTGCTAGCCTCATTTCTTCCTGTTCTCATGATTTTCTTTGTTGTCACAAAAGCTTTTTATCCACAGTACTATTTCTCTTGTCTTTGAGATGCCGAGGTGGCTGTTTGTCTGTCTTACACATGTCTTACATGTTCAGACGGCCAATGGACGCTCAGTGCTTGGATTCTTAGTACTGCAAACAGCTTGGGGCAGCAAAGACAGAATGCCATGTCAGCACATGGATTTTGTAAAATAGCAAAAGCTTAATACACAGTGCAATTCATCTACTAAAGGGTTGACTATGATGCTGTGGTTGAGTGGGGAAAACTTAAAACTCTTAAGAGATTTCTAGAATCATCTTTACCATTTGAAAGCTTTTGGAAGTAGCCAGTTGTCTGGCCATGGCAGACTCTGGAGTGTACGTGTTAGATAATAGCCAGAGCATAAAGTGTGACCTTAATGTGCCACAAGAGATGATCTGATGCCAATTTGCTAAGCACATGGAGGGGAGGGATGCTAGGAGTGCAACAGCTGGTAAGACTTTGGGGTGAGAACCTGCTGCCTGTCGCTGAAGGTTAGGAGCAAAGCAGCAGGGGAGCCTTTGGGAATCCCGTGAAGCTGGGTGAAAGATTGCCTTGTGTTCTTTGGAGTCTTCTAAACTGCTTCTGGGTTTGTTTTTTTTTTTCTTCTGAAGTTCTCTATGACATACTCACATCCTGATGTCATCCCATTGGGAAAAAAACCTTTGTGTGTTCTTTTAAAGAAACATTCAATATGAGCCTTTTCTATCAGATACTGTAAAGCCTCCGGTGGTGACAAAGAATTAAAGTCTTTTCTTGTCCCCCACCCCGTAAGACTTTTATGCAAGTGTTTTAATTCCCTGTACTAATTCTCAGCTTAAAGTGGCTGGGGCTCCCCTCTTCATTTCCTGTATTCTAGTTCTCTTCAAACTAGCCAACTAAATTAGACTGAATGAGGTTCAACCCCAGCCAGTGGGGAAAAGACACAGTCACCACCTGACTTAAAATAAAAACCAAATACAACTCCTGTGTGCTTGTCCTTCTGAGCACATCCCCCCGCCCCCAGTGTCAAGTTATGCCTGATCCATCAGAGTGCTGGTCTCTCTGTGACCCCAAACTTACTAACACCTGTCCCAGCTCTTCATTCCCCTTCTAGATTCCTGTTTACTGGAAGACATAGCTAGCATCTTGTCAGGTGTGTGGCCCCGGTGTTGGCAGGCTTGACATGCTCTTGACTGAGCTATCTGATGGAGTGATTTTTCTTCATCCTCTCTTTAGTGCTGAAATAGCCACTAAGCCATGAAAACAGACAAGCACCACTTGACAGATGACATGGCCACTCCTGCCACAGGCACTGTAGGGTCTGGACTCATGTCACTGGGATTTTTTTTTTTTTTTTAATCTTGTTCCTGGGAACAAAAATAAAATGAAGTTTCTCACATTTGATTGCAATGAACATAATTAAAAAGTGCCATAGTATTCAGTTGCTAAGAAATCAGTCACTTTAATTGGAAAGAAGATTTCTTAGCTCCCTTATTGGAGCTCTTGGTAATTAAAAAAAAAATTGGGATCCCTGACAGTTTGTCATAAATTGTCTCCTTTTGGGCAGAACAGGTAAGAAATCCTAATTACCAGTGGATTATTCCAGAGTGGATAGAAAATCTTGATCAAAGAGATGTTAGAGAGAGAGGAGGGCTGGCAGTGGGCCAAAGATTTGTGGGAAACATTTTTAAAGCTAAAGGACAAATTCACTTGATGTGACAGAAACAAGAGCTTGTGTATTTAATATCCTAGAGATGTAAATTGGATTTCCTAAGAAAATGAGGAACTAAGCATATTAGAAAAACTTTATACACAAGAAAGTTCTCTAGGCCAATGGAAATTAGCCCTGTTTATTAACTAGTCGTGGACCTCATGTGGGGAAGAATATGAAATGTGTAGGCTGGTGAAATGGCTCAGTGAGTAAGGGCGTTCACCACTGTGTGGACAGCCTGTGTTTGTTGGACTCAGGTGGAAGGAGAGAACGGAGTCCTGAAAGTTGTCAATATATGTAGCCCCTTTCTCAAAACAAATTAGAAAGTATAAAAAAATGTTTTGGAACTTAAGGTTTATGTTTTTAAGGAAGTCCTTTACACCCAAGTTTAAGGAAAGCTACCATGTTTTATTCAAATGAAAAAATAAGTTATCAGTGAATAAAAAGTAAGTTATCAGATGGGGCTAGTGAATCCACTGGCCCAGTCTCTGTTGCTGTCCTATTTCTAACTTGCCCAAGAACACTTGAGGAATAGTCTGGTTTACATTGATACATTGGGCTATACATTTATTTTGAAACATATGTAGTTAATTTTTCAAATTAATTTATTACCTGTAATATCTATTGTAAACTATATGTTGAAATTACATATAGTTATATAGGGTGAAGAACTGGGATATGCTTTATTCAATCGCATTGCTGACGGCTCCATGGACTGAGGAGTACGTATTCATATACGTGTGTTTCTGAGCTGTTAAGGCCGATATGCTACTTTGCTTTCTATTGCTGTGATAAAACATTTTGACCATAAGCAACCTGGGGAGGAAAAGGTTTATTTCAGCGTACATATTCTGACCAGAGTCTATCGTGAAGGAAAGTTAAGGCAGGAACCTGGAGACAGGAGCGGATGCTCAGGCTGTGGCATAGTGCTGCTTACTAGTTTGCTCTGCATGACTTTTCTCAGCCTGCTTTTTTACCCAGGATCACCTGCTCAAGGGTGGCACCCCGTGGCGGCCCATATCTACCATTAATCAAGATGTTGGGCTGGAGAGATGGCTCAGCTGTTAAGAGCATTGTCTGCTCTTCCAGAGGTCCTGAGTTCAATTCCCAGCAACCACGTGGTGGCTCACAACCACCTATACTGGAATCTAATGTCCTCTTCCGGGATGTAAGCATACATGCAGAAAGTGCACTCATATACATAAATAAATAAAATCTTAACAAAAAAAGAATGTTTACTTTAAAAAATGCTCTACAGGTTGCCTATAGCCCTGTGATGGGGGCATTTTCTCAGTTGAAGTTCCCTGTTCCCAGATGACCCTGCTTATATGATGTTGACAAAATAGCCAGTACCGTTGTTGGAGACATTGTGTCCCTTTGAGCCTATATGTGTCAATGTATATAGTGTTTATCTTACATTATCTTACAGCACAATTATTGTTCTGTTTGGGGTGTGTGTGTGTGTGTGTGTGTGTGTGTGTGTGTGTGTGTGTGTGTGTAGGTTAGGACAAGCTGAGGGAGTTGGTCTCCCTTTTGGACACTGTAGCGCAGTGGAATCAGACATTAACATATAAACAATTTACAGTTCATACTCAAGTTTTACCATTCACCCTGATGGCTATTTTTTTAGTCCATTATTTACGTCCACCTGTCACACTTAATTGTCATGTAAATATGAACTAGTTCTTTAACCTCTTGCTTATGTTATTTAGAGGCTGGGAAAACTTTGAAGGCTGGTTGTGGAGTAGAATTTGGTTTATTCACAGTTTCCCTGTGGCTTCTTTCTTTAAGATACATTTGCTTTTATGAGTGTTTGCCTGAATCAGTGTATGCATACCACACAAGTGTGCGTGGTGCTTGCCGAGGTCAGAAGAGAGTGTTAGATAGCTTGGAACTGGACTGACAGTTGTGATCCACCATGAGGGTCCTGGGAACTCTGTAAGAACAGCAGGTGAGCTATTACCTCACTAGCTGCCATCTCTTTAGCCCCTCCTTGTAGCTTCTTCAGGCCATGTGTTTTGGCATCCCCAGCAGCTTGTCCTGACTTCCACACCATACACACACAACTGATAGATCTAAAAACAATCATGTTACACAAGTAATACTATGTCTTCCATGCATTCTGGCCGGAGACTCATTGATACTGGTGTCTCAGGCCTCCCTGATGTCAGCTTCTCTAGTTGGCTTTTTGTGACAAGTAAGCTATTTATAGGGGAAAAATTTTAAGACTAAATTTTTATTTCTTCATTGAATAAATGATAAGTTTCATGTAAAAGAAAATCAAATTTAAGGTGGCAAAAGTGCATTTTGGAAGCCCCATCCCAGCAGTTAGAAGATTTATATTGCAGAATCCCTGAAAATAAACTTGAGAAGATGAGAAAGCCTGTGTGTTCTGGCTTAGATTGGTAATGTGCCCCTATCTCATTCCCAGTGCAGTGGTGGGAGTTGGGACTTTGGGAGGTGACTGTCATAAGGACTGATCCCATCAATGGATGGTCTGTGCTTGGACTGACTGCATGGGCCACTG